TAGCCTAACCTCCATTTATTTGTATTGCTGCTAGGCTGACAGAGGCTCGTTGAAATTTTTTGTCACAATTTACCCTTGATTTTTTTCTCTTAGAAACAATATCTCGCGAACAAGTGTTCCTATGCAAGTGGAATTAATGCATCAAGAAGCCTAATGTTTCCTCTTAATAATTCTGTTTTCTATTGTATAGATAATTTTACTATGTTCATGTTATGGCTCTTTTAAAACCATAAAATGTATTTTTTGTCATTATAATCCCTTTTTTGAAAACAAGCTAGAGTAAGATACAAGATCTTTATAATCATATGAAAGAGCTTTCATTTGCATATGGAATGATACTAGTTAGAGTTAGAATCTATGAAGCATGAGTTTGTTACAACAGAAAAAGGGCGAAAAATGAAAAAATTTTGTTGTACCTATAACTCGTTGCAAAATAGCGTTGTAGAAGTAAAAACCTTGCTGCAGGTAGTCCTAAACTTTCTATATGGAACGGTAGATATATCATAAGTAAGCGTCCTCTTGGATCTCCATAAATATTCTTCGAAGTCCTTGCAGCACAGCCTCACTAATGGAGGAGATGGGAAATCAACCAGGTATTGGGCCGGTAACCAATAGCAACATCAACTAGCCTACGCCCCCGTTTCCAATCCCTTTCATTTACTCTATTATCTATGATGCATCATAGATATTAGAGTAAATGAAAGGGATTGGAAACTTCCGCATGGGCGTAGCAATAATCCCATTTGATTGTATTGTTTTAATAAATTTGATTTATATCTATGGATGCATCATGCCCGCGAATTCCTAGCGTTCCATTGCTTATCAGAAATTCAGAATGCGAGAGATCCTCACCTTAAATTGCAGTATAGAATCTAATTTTGATTAGGTTACTAATAGTAGTGGCTGTCACTTTAATATCCAAGCACTTCATATAAAATTTAATAATAATTAATTTAGCAAAGCCCTTACTGATAAGAATGTACGTACAATTGGGCATGCCCTGACTACGAGATGCAGTCAGGAGGGGAACGTCTCAATGTTTTCAGTACATTCTTTCTAGTAATAATAATGTTAATAAAATAATAATTAGAGTGCATTAATAGTATGTTCAAAGTGATTACTCAATAAAGTTGATATCTTATCTTCAAAACCAGCCAACAGGAGTGAAGTATGATCACCACTCCTCCTATTACTACTCTCACTGTATGAGGAGACACTTTTAGAATAAGAACAACCATCACTAGTGGACACACCTACTCCATCTGAACTAGACATGCCCCCTTCTGTAATAGACACACCTCCTTCTGTGATGGACACGCCTCCTTCTGTGATGGATACGCCCCCAGTAGTTGTTGTCTCGCTGATTGTTCTACTGATATTGTTTGAATTAGCTTGTGAAGTTGCTTCCATTAGCAGTTCCTCTAAATGAAGTACTCTATCTTCACTTGTTAGTAATAGACCCTCACTATGGGGCAATGACATCATGTGACATCATCGTAATGACATCATGTGACATCATCACTCACTTTAGTTTCAGTTTCTGTTTGCATTTGTCTAATTCTTTCTCTCGTTTATTC